TCAACAACATTATCAACATCCACCACCTTTGTTACCACCAATAAATCCTGCTGCCGATCATCAATTGATTTCTTCTTCCACTTCTCCTCTCCCCTCTACTTCTTTATTCAGACCAGCTTCTGCTTCGTCATCATCAAGTGATTCCGCTGTTGCAAGTTCATCTTCGTCATCATACCAAAATCACCCTTATTATCATCACAATAATCAATACTCATACCATCATTCTTCAGAATCCAATCATCCACCTCATCATCATCAACATCCACCTCAACCTCAACATCATCATGATAATTACCATCCTCAACATAATCCTAATCATGTTAAACCTGAATATGATCAATCAAATGTAAGACCTCCAATAGATTGGTATCCAAATAATAATGGAAATGAACTTCATACCAACAACAATAATAACGACGACAATAATCATAGCAATAGAGGTGATTTTCAACAACGTAATTAATCAATCTCAAAAAAAAAAATCTTTGGAACATTTGTAGATTTATTTATTTATTTTGTTAATTATGTAAGATATTAATAAAAATCTAATAAACCAAAATTTATTTTTATTTTTTTAGAATCATTATAAGCTTTTTTAAATTATGATAAACTATAATCAATATATTTATTTACACATATGCTATAGTTCTACTTCTACTACTTCCAGATGATGATAGAGAATTAGTTTTATATGGAAATCAAGAAATAGAAATTTTAGGTAATTTCTATGGAGAAATTAAATTTGTAAATGGTAATGAATTTAGTGGAATCATTGACAAAGAAGAACTTAAACAAGAATGGAATTCAACAAAACTTTTCCTACAGAACTATAAAAATAATAATAGGGAAATGAATTTCATTCAATTGTGGAAACTCATTTTAGATACTGATGAAGATTTTCCTTTTAATAATCCAAATATATTATTAGTTGTTAGAATAGCACTTCTTATACCTCTTTCTAATGCTCATGTAGAAAGAATATTTTCTCAAACAAGGTTAATTAAAAACAAATTAAGAAACAAAATGCATTTAGACACATTAGATGATCATTTAATGATTTTATTAAATGGACCAGAAATTGAAAATTTTGATTTTTTAAAAGCATTAGAACATTGGGAGAGTAAAAAACCAAGAAGAAACATTAGGTTTTAATTTTTTTTGTAAAACAATATTCATTAATATTAAAATAAATAATTAAAATTTTCTAAAAAACGATATGTGCACACTGCTTGTGTAACGTTACACACTCCCGCTGAATTTTCAACACTGTCAAATCACGAAATCGCAATTTTTGAAATTTGGTAGCATATGGCGCAGCAATAGGACCAAGCCAACCATATTAAAGAAAATTTTTGTTATATTAAGATTATCAAAATAAACTTTAGGTATAAAACTAATATTATTGTTTAAACCTTCACCATCCAGAAGTTGTCAATTCCCATAAAGTTTTATTAAAACAAAGTCTTTAATGTAGCAATTTCTTCAAATTTTAATATTACGGCTTTATGAGAAATCATAAAGGTAAATAATGTAACATTAAAAAATTTAATCAATTAATTTGAATAAATAGTAATATTTGTTTTTGTAAGCCAGCCAAAAGGAACCTCGCACCCAAACATCATGTAGTTTCAATTACAATCTTAAGAAGGTAGATCTAAAATATGGTATTTATATGGATTTGAAGATTGACATCTTGTTAAATATTTTATCTAATAATTGTTTCAACTCCACTGATAATAGCTAAAAAAATTTATTTGATTTAGAAAATTTTATTAGTATTAAAATCTGGAGATTTTTCTTTTATATTCTAACAGATTAATTCACCTGGTTCCATAATTTTCATTGCCACAGCTTGTTCAATGTTATAACATTTCTTGACCTTGAGAATCCATCCTGACTTTTTCCACAATAAAATTAATTCAAAATCATGACTTGATTTTCTTTTTTTTAATTGTAAATATAATATTTGTTCTTGAAATATTCTAAAGAGCCATTATTGTTGGTAATGATGATTTTGATTGTCATTTTTTATCTTCACCATAATTAGTAAATAATCAAGAAGTCCTTGATACATACATACAAATCTATATTGAAAACCTTTTTGTATGGTTTGATTTTTAAATGAAAAATCAGTTGCAGATATTTGATTGAATCTTATTAATGGAATGATATCATCGCTTAATATATTGTTTTCCAACTTTACAAAGAAATCTTTTCCATTCAAAAATCTTGTTTTTTATAGATGCTGGTCGCAATTCTTGGTGATGGTTGCAACCACCTTTGTGACCACTTTGGTTTCCTTTTTTGGATTGCGACATGGAACACTAGTTCTTTTCTATATAATAACTATTTTTTTCATCATTAAAAAAGAAAGAATACTTAATTCGTGTTTCACCAATCATGTGTAGAAAACTAATAATGATCTGCGGAGATAATGATCATAGTAAAATTGACAAAAAGTTGTTCAATTGACAAACATTACACTACATCCAAGTTGCCAATAAAAGATTTTATATGGATAATTGTTATGCCATACAATAGATATAAACTTGAATATTTATAAATATAAAAAAATTTGTTATAGCTTATTAATTTTTTTGACTTTTATATTGGGCATCGCCAGATCCAAGGTATTTTTTACATAATAAACAAACATTAAAAATATATCAATTTTAATTTTTTTCGTTTTAATTTGCACCAGACAAAAAAACTTTTTTTAAAAACTTGCATTTTTCTAAAGAATATTAATTCTTTTTACTCAATTTCAGATTAGCCATTTTCTTTTACAATTAGCAGAATACCTACCAATCCAACTTTGTATAGTATTGATTTTTGGAAGTTCATTTGGATCCAATTGTCTTTCTTTAACTAATTTGTTCAACTCATTCAACATGTCTTCAGGTGAATACCTATCACTTTTATTTGTATTTCCAGCATGAAAGTAATTTTGACATAAACTAGTTACCTGACTACTCATTCTCACGCCTCCACCTTTCTTACCAAACTTTTGTTTCTCCTTCAAAGCCCATCCACAACTTAATGGGAAATTTTCAGAATTATTACAAGTAATTAATATAAAATTTTGTTATTTGAATTTTTAATTAAAAATAAAAATAAATATCTTACATATTTTCTATTTTAAGTTGGTTGCTCAATGGATTATTCATATCTAAAATTGTTTGTTATTTATTATTATTGTTGTTTTATTATTTTATAAAATGGAGCAAATTATTTTAACTTCACCTTGTAAATTTATAGCTTCTGAATTTTTTTGGTGCTCTTTTGATAGCTCCACTCTTCTTTTCTTTGAATTAGATTCATTAGGAACAGGAACAGTCCATGGTGAATTTGGAATAGGTGTTGATATAAATGGTTCAGGTTTCAATAACTCCATGTTGTTTTTATTAAATTTAGTTGGGAGTATATTATTCCAATCTCCAATATTAGGTAATGATCATGCTTGAATATATCCAGCATATAATCCATCTACAGGCCATCCCCATTCAAACCAGTTGGATATACCACTAATTGTATTTATTTTTTTCTTACCTGTTTCCCTATTTGGTTCCAAATTACAAACAGATGTACCATGTAAATTTATAGATTTCTTTATATCAGATCCATTTGATATATCAAAACCTAACCTAACATAACGTTTTATGGAATGAGAAATCTAATTCAAACATCAATAAAGAAACAATTGTTTAGCAATGATAATAATAATAAATATAATGAAAATGAAAAAAATATTACCTGGGCATGATGTGAATCAATACATGTTTTTGCTTCACCTGCTTCTAAAAAAATCCATTTTTTTATTTCAATATCATACCAATCTTTCCATTGTGACAATATAACCATTAATTCTGAGTTATGATAATGAGGCCCATTATCTGAAAAAATAGTAACCCATTTAGGTTTATTATGAATGGTTTCAAAGACAGCATGTAATGAAGATGCTGTGAACCAAGCATCTTGACAAGTATCTGTTGACCAATGATCATATGCTGAAATATTTAGCTCTGTAGAATTTTCTTTTTTAGTAAAAAGTAATACAGAATGTAATGTCCAGCCACGTTTACCAAAGAATTCCTGTTTTGTCTCACGTGCAGACTTTGGCAAAATGTGCATCTTATAGTCAACAATTAATAATGCTCCATCATTATCTAATGTTTTTAAATTTGCTTGGAGTTGTGAATTAAGATATACTTTCCTAGTCTGGTGAGCAATATAATAAAAAAAATTTTGTTGATATTCATCAAGTAAACACTTCTGCTCTGGCAAATATGTATCTAGTTCATGAAAAAATCATAAAGTTGTGAACATTTTAAACATATTGTTGTGTGTGGTTGTGTACATATTCCAAAAGCAAAGGTTAAACAATGATTTATGCAATTGTTGTGCTGTATGGTTCCATCATTATTTATTTCTAATTCAAGCTCATATTCACGTTTATAATGCCGTTTAATGATATCTATTTTAGAATATAAACAATCCTAATATAAAATTAGTAAATAAAAATTATAAATAAAAATTATAAATAAAAATTATAATAATAAAAATGTTTGTTTTGGCCATAGTTAAAACTCCTGAAATAAATATGAATTTTAAATTCAAAAAGATTTTTAAAGTCTGAAGTTGAAATAATCAATATTAAAATACCTGATTTGATTTATCTACTATATGTACACTTATCAATTTCTTTAAATCATCAAAAACTTCATAGCCAAATTCACAACAAATTGAACACAATCCTCCAAGATCTTCATGATATATGAATGGACTATCTTTTATTTGCTTCAAAAATGTGGTACGTTTCATACCATTATGATAAGTTTCAGAAAATTTGTTCCAGAGAGATTCTTTTTGGTCTTGTAAATATAGTATTGGTTCATTAGTAATAGGATGAACTTTATATGAGCTCATACTTACATTTGCTTTATCTGCAAAAAAGGAATCAAATTGCTGTTGCATTTCAGATGTTATGGTTGATTTCTTTTTTATTTTGGAGTAGATAATTGTACACCACCTGCTCCATTAATACGTGAATATTTTCTTGCATTATTTATTGCTGAAGGTGAGACCTTGTGATCAACAAATAAATTAGTTTATTTTTATATAAAAACATGATAAATAAAAGAACTTACATTCAACATATCTTGTAATTCTTTATAAGAAAACTCTTGTGCAATTATTGACAATATATGTTGTATACCATTACTACCTTTATTATTATTTTTTAATGATTCTTTAAAACATTTCCAAAATTTTGGTATTGAGTCTTGTTGTTGGTCTGGATATAAATTTAAAAAACCATTTTCATATAAATATCTGAATGTTTTTTATTGTTGGATTCATCTTCAGCTCTAGTCCAATATTCAAACTTAAAATAGTGTCCATTAAATAATTATCAAATAAAAATAAATTTAAAGAATAAATAAATAAAATTGTACGTACATGTGATTCTTTGCTTGGAAAAGGTGTTATATTTTTACAGCCAGTTGATCTCAACATTGACCGCCCCCTTCACTAACCCCCTCCCCTCCCGGCTA